CAAAACCCCTTAGATAGCATCAATGGAAATTTAAGTACTTAATTAATCATAAAATTAAAAAATATTCTGAAATTCTATATAAAAAGGTAAATAGACAAAATAGAATTGATTATTGGACTATGTTTAAATTTATAATGGTCCAAGATATTAATTATATTTAAAATAAAAAATGTTTATCTAAAGCATTCTATTCTTTATAATATTGCTCTATAAAAGGATTAACTCTTGTAAATTAGTTTGCTTGAACAATTTATAGGTGGGAATGATGAAACATTAGTAGGTTATCAATGCAAAAGTAATTCTTGTCATTTAAGTATCATTTAGAATGCAGTGATGTTATCTTTGGTTGCAATAGTTGTTTGATTGAATAAATCAATTCAAATTAGTATATCCAGTGCTGAACTTGCCAAGATGGCTTATTTTTGCTCTCTAGATAGTCATATTTACCTGAGAGAGAAACATTTGCTTATAATTATTGTGTGCCAGACTGTAACTTAGCTCACAATTCCTATATAAACAGTGATTATGATCGAACTTGCCTTTGTAAATATACATTTAAGCCACGATTATCATATCAAATAGGGTGTGGAAATCACTGTAGATCTTGCAATCTTAAAAATGGCTGCGATTCTGTAGTTTAGTTAGAAACTGGATTAGTATGGACTAATGCATATTTGCCAATATCATTTCGAAATCATCCGGATTTTAGAAGGCTAACTCGTAGATTAAATTTTCACTAATACTGGTGTTAGTTTGCATTAGGAGTAAAGATTGCTATGAATGTGACCCTTGATAGCTCGATAGATGCATAAAATGTACAATAGCTATGAATTAGCTAGTTTAATACTTTGGTTAAGAATATTCATGTAGTAAGTTAAGTTTAATTCATAAAAGGTTGATTTTTTAAATTAGAAGCATACCCAGTGCCTCATCTTCAATAGAGTGTGGGTTGTCTGTCATATTCATATGTAGACAATAATAACTGCGTCTATTGCGATGACTACTATTATCTTTAGGTCATTCCTGGCTAAAATTATGTGACTTGCGGTATTGGTAATTTTTTATATTCTTTAAATTAATTAAAGCTGGAATATAACCTAGTAACTGTTAAACACCAGATAACTTGTATGACTGTCTTATTTGTAAATAGGGTTATGGTGTTACTAAATGGGGTCCTTATGACTATTGTTTAAGTAAGTTTTTCATCACTAAGTGCATAATTTCATTCAAAATTTATTAATTCATTCAATCAATTCATCATATTTTAGAATGCACTCCTTATTAATCATATGATTATAATTGGGGATCCTATACTTTTGACATTGCATATTGTGGAATAAGTAATGAATAGGTATCTTCATTGTTAGCTTGTCATGATGGGTATATTTCTAATAGTAATCCAAGAACCTGCACCTATAAATGCCCGTTTGGATAATATGGAAATGCAATATATACATTTAGAGGAACCGTTATTTAAGCTTACTGCTTTGCATGCAGTCCTGATTGTTATGAATGCTCCTCTTATTCTATGTGCAAATCTTGTAATAAAGGCTATTATCTTAGTTTAGAAAACAGATAGAGATAAGTTGGGACATGCCAGCTGAAATCTCAGACTAGTATTGAAGCTACTATCTATGTAGGAAGAGCAGGAAGCTATAACACAAGAGATAGGAGTTAAATTGATGGCTCTATTAATAATTATTTCAACTCTATTTAAGATGCTATTAAAAAGGCTTATGAGCTTGGAGCCCCTTATAAATCTGCTTTAATAACTATCTTATTATTGGATGGGAGTCATGCAATGGTTAGATACTATCCTTAGGATTTTTACATGCCTACTAAATCGGATTAACTTTCAAAAACAACTAAAATTATTTTATAGCCTGCTAGTCCAAACATTCAATTAACTATAAATTACAAACTTTGAGACACATTCC